TATGATTCAATTCAAAGATAAAAATTGAAAACTTAAACTTATATCCTGTAAATGTAGCTCAGTATTAGAATTTCTGCCTAGCATGCATTAGGCCCTGTGTTTCAATCCCTAGTATGGGAAAAAAAAGAACTGAAAACTGAAATATGGATACATAGGAAAATTCAAGTGTCAACTTTGCCATAATAGTTGACAATTTATTAGACTAAAGATTATGAAAGAAACCGAGACTAGTCCTTACAAAATATACAAACATGGATGGCTATATAGGTGAGTTAAACCATAATTCTAGTAAAATAACTATTTCTTCTATTATTCCATATACTTCTAGAACATAGTATAGAAGCAAGTATATGAGTCTTACTTTAAGAAGCAATGGTAATCTTCATTTCAAATCAGAGAAGTGAAACACAAAAAGAAAACAGTTATGAATATAAGTGTAATTATCATAAATAAAAACCTAATAGATGTAGCATTATATTAAGAAAATAAAACACTGAATCTTGAAGGGTTTACCTCTGGAATGCAAGGAAAGTTCAACATCTGAATACTTATCACTGCAAGTCACACTAATAGACAAGAGGAGAAATGCCATATTCTCTCAAACTATACTTTAAATACATGTGATGAACTTTACAATTTTTTTAACTCTTAAGAAACTAAGAATAGGAGAGATGTTTTAGCTTGGAAAAAGTTATTTAGCAAACCCAATGTAACCATTTTATTTTGTTTATCTCATGTTTATACTTACTGTAAAATATAAATATAAATATACATATAAATACAAAATCAAACTGCCAATTCCATTATTTAACAATCTTACTATTACTACTACTGCTATTATTATTCTCTGAATATATAATCAATTTATTAGGAAATTTATTAGCTCAGCATTACCTAGTGTTATAATCACGACTAAGAAAACCAACATAACTCACTTCCAGAACTAAAAAGAGAGTTTATCCATTGTAAGATCAAATTATCAAAACCAGTGGAATGTCTTTACACCAGCAATAACCAGCTAGAATATATAATCAACAATAAGATAATATTTTCAAAGGTTTTTAATTTCCTAGGAATGAACCTATTACAGAATACATAAGACTTCTGTGAAAATGAGCTTTTCTCCAGTATATATTTCCATAAAAAGGATATTGCAGATTATTTGAATAAAACAAAGAATCATGCTTTTCAAGGAAGTGTTTCACTACTATAAGTATTTCACATTTTCTCTCATTTAGCCTATAATTTCAATGTGAAACCAAACCAACTTCTTGTTTTTCAAAGATCAAAATAAATAAATATACTCTAGTATTTATATAGATTAATAAGACTAATGAATAGACTATTGAAACATTAATATCTTCAATGTAAAAAAGAAATAAGGTAACAAGAAAATAGCTTGCATTTTGAGAGATATTGCAATGTCACAGTAATAGAAAGATTGAGGTAGACAAATAGAAAAAAAGAGTTCAGAAAGAGAAGATTCCCACCAAAATCACTCCAAAATGTGTAGCTATACTAGATGGTAGAAGCTCTAGCTCACTAGTTTAAGAAAATCAAGCTAGATCCCTACTTTTTGGTATGTTCCTTAGATTGTCTTGATTTTGAAGTTAAAAGTATCCCTTAGTACTAACATTTACTAATTTCCAGACTTTGTTTTAATATGTAAGTTTAAATAAAGTTTAATTTATTAAGTACATTTCTAGGATCAGACTTAAATTTGCCTTTGTGCCTATCAAAAAGAATCTCCCTTTTCTAAGAAAGACCTGTGTATTAATTTCATGTACTTCATCACAAACTTGACTTTGTTTATTGAGGTTATAAGAGAGTGATTGGATGATGCTACAGATTTGACATTAAGTGTTCCTTAGTGGTTCATATGCTAAAAATTTGATTCTCAGATGATGCTAATGGGAAATGGTAGAAACATTAAGACATAGATCCCAGTGAGAAGTCTATAAGGCATTATGGATGTGCCCTCAAGGAGCAGTGGGAAAACAGACTCCTGTCTTTCTCTTTTTACAATCCATCAATGAGATGAGTGGCTTTTCCTACGCCATGTATGCCTACCATGATATTCTACCTAAACAATGTTCAGAAGGATGGACCAATTGATCATGGACAGAAACCTCCAAAATCATGAGGAAAAACAAGCCTTTTTATTCACAAATTGATTGTCTCAGTTATCTTGTTACAATAATGAAAACTGACACATGAGAACTACTCCAGAATTTAATGGTATATTCACATGTCAGAAATACTGAAATTTTCTACTTACGACTTTATGCTCCTTATGTTACTGAGGAAGTATGTGACTTCAGAAGAGCATATTCATCTTAGTTCCTGGGTGCTTCTATGTCTGTGTGAATTCTGATGTTTGAACAACTCATAATCCAGTTGATCAAAAAGATTGTCATATGATGATGGGAGTGTTGCTTTATTCTTTCTTTGCATAACACCATGACACTAACATACAACAGAATAAATTGAGAGTATTTTGGATTCTTAAACTTCACATTTGAGTTGTGTACAATGCCTTACATTTTCAAGGTGAATATAGTTTAAGTTGAGAATACTTTAAAATGCTTTTTCAAAAGTACTTTTTTCTTGAGAGGATGTGGAACAATAGAAACTCTGATTCCTTGTTGATAGAAAGTCCAAATGGAACACACTTGGAAGCCAGTTGGCAGTTTCTTATAAAACTATGCTACCTCTGACCATACAGTCCAAAATCACACTACTTGGCATTTACTCAAAGGAGCTTGTTGTAGCCTAGCTCTAACCAGTGCACCTCCATCTTGTTCTGTATGCGCCACACAACCCCCTCCCCTCCCCATTCTTTTTAGGTTAAGTCTCCATTTCCCATAAAAGCCTTAAGTTTCAGTTTCTTGTAATCCCCTCCCATCCCCTTTCACCTATCTGTAATAAAGTGTGCTGTTCCTTAAGAAATGTTTAACTACAAGGAAATTACAGGATGTCTTCCTAATCTAAACTTGCTTGTTTGCAGGGTTTGCAGGATGTGCCTTCCCCCAGAGGATGTTTGCCTAATCTAAACTTGCTTGTTAGCTCAACCTTTACCTGAACCTTGCTCTTCCCAAGAAATGTAATCGCTGTGTTCCTGTTCTGTAGTGTGCCACCAACCCACCCCCTCCTTGCATTGTGAGACCAGCAGCTGTTTGTGGTTTTACAAGATAAAAACCCTGCTCTTTAGCTGTCAGGCACGCAGTCTTCCATATTGGCTCCCAGAGGCTGAGTCACCAGGCTTGGCCTAAAGTAAAGCCTTTGCTCCCTAAATTTTAATTTCTTGCTTCCTTGGATTTTATTCTGGGGTCCGAGCTATCACAGAGCTGAACACTTATGTCCATATCAAAAACAACCAATCAACCAGACAAACAAAGAAAACAACTCTACACATGGTGTTTTTATCAGCTTTATTCATGATTGCCAAAACTTTGAGATAACCTACATGTTCTTCAATGGGGTAAATGGATAAACTTGATATATTAGCACAATGGAAAATTAATTGGCACTAAAAGGTCAATGAGTTATCAACCATGAAAAGACATGGAGGACCATTTGTTGCACAATACTAAGTGAAAGAAACCACTCTAAGATGACTAGAGTATAGTTCCAACTCTGTGACATCCTAGAAAAGACAAAACTTGAGAGACTGAAAGATAAAAATTGTCAGGGATTGAGGGAGATGAGCAGAAAAAGAGTAAATGATTTGAAGTGCAGTAAAATTACTATGAATTATAATACTAATATTACTATGATACTGAATATGTGACATTAGACATTTGTTCAAATTCACAGAAAGAATGGCACCAAGTGTGAGCTCTAGTGAACACTAATGACTTTAGGCGATAATGATGTGTCAGTATAAGTTCACTATAACAAATGCATCACTGCAATAGAGGATGCTGATGATGTGGGAGGCAATGTATCTATTACAATGGGAAATCTCTGTACCTCCCAATTTTTTATGCACCTAAAACCAATCCAAAAATAATATAGTGTATTACCTTCTTAAAACATCACTAAAAAATGTTATCTACCAATCAGAGCCCTCTTTTATGATACAACACAGAGAATTCAAGAATAATGTAGTGGAGGAAAAGTGGGCCCTGGAGAACCTTCTCAGAACAGGGAAGGCCTCCACATTAAGGTTTTCTCCAGGGAACTCCCTCTTTCTCCATGGTCTAGAGCTGAGCTCAAGTCCCATTGGCCTTTGTTATTTGTAAAGCACAGTTAGAAAGACAATGGGGCTATTATCTTGGTGATAGGTTCCTCCCCTATGTCTTCTAAAGGAAGGATAAAGTCAAAGGAACACCATAGAACCCTAACTATCTCTGCGGCTTTTTGTTCCTGTTTTGCGAAAATGCCATACGGATGTCCTCTCCTGAGCTCAGCTGCTGTTGGACTAGAGAGTCCAGGTGAAGAAAGATGTTACTGAACTCCATCTTTTTATGAACTACCCACACCAGGAACCTGTGAGTGTGCAAGGTATGAATAGAAATCAGATCTTCATTTATAAGCATCAGGGAGGAGGAAAGGCAAGGCTCTAGAATAAACACTAGAACTGTATATTTCACCAGGTGGTTCTCTATTTCTCCTCCTTTCATTTGTTTGTTTGTTTATTATTTATTTATTTTTAGTTTTTGTTTTTGCAGGAGTTAGGTGTCTTGGTAATGCACAGATGTTGGCCCATATCTATTATGATTTTATCAAAACCCACTAGAACCAATTCAGGAAATAGCCTCATCTTTGTAGATTCATGTTAAATCTTGTGGGATCATGAGGAAAATAGAGGAAGGACATCATAAACTCACAGAAGCCTGAAATGGAAAGCTCCTATCTGTCCAATGTGCATAACACTCACCTTTAAGGGCTTCTTGCTGTCTGGCTTTTGTAAAACCAGCACAGTCATGTGCTACCTCTGCTTTTGTTAGTACAGAAGGAGAGAAGAGGTTTATATTTAGTACCAGAGACAAAGGAAGGTCATTTCCTCATCTTTACAGTTATTAAGCTAGAATGAACTTTTGAAAACAATGAACTTCTCCAGTTTTTAAAAATGAAAACCTCAAGTGACTTATTCACATGTTTGCAGGGAGAGAGAAAGGATCTATCATCAGGTGTCACAATAGCTCTCTCAATCATTTAAATATTCATCATGGACTGTCTGGAAGCAGGTCCATCAAACACTTGTTGATTTGCTATGCCAGTCAGTGCTTCTGTGGTTTGACTCAGTTTCCTTTGGAAGAGAGAATAGAACTTCTTTGGGTCCTCAGGTCTACCATCAGCTCCTTCATTTCCTCCTCTTCTTAAGGTAATCCTTGTCCTCATCTCTTTCTTTTCCAGGTCTGAATCTCTACACCCTCACTCTCAGGTTTCTGCTCTGAACTAGGCGTTGCTGACAAGAGAGGACCCGGCAGGGCAGCCTGCTGCATAATCTGTCTGGGTCAGTCCTGAAGCTTTACTCAAAATGCCTCATCTCCAGACATACTCTGTTACTGATGAATCATTTCCGCGTTCTTATCAGTTCTTGTTCCTCTGAAGCGATTGTTGTGTGCTCCATGGGAGTTGGCAATGAGACTTCAGTCACTGTGTTTGTTCTCCAAGGACTGTCCAACAATCCTCAGATCCAGCTGCTACTCTTTGTGGTATTTTTAGTAATTTACCTTCTGACCCTCACAGGGAACCTGCTGATAATGCTAATTATCTGTACTGATTCGCACCTCCAGACTCCCATGTACTTCTTCCTGGGACATCTCTCCTTCCTGGATGCTTTCTATTCCTCAGTGATTGTGCCTAAACTGTTAGAAAACCTTCTTTCCAAGGTGAAGGCAGTATCCTTTCATGGGTGTTTCACTCAGATTTCCTTGGTCATATTTTCAGGGGCCACTGAAGCCTGCCTTCTTTCTGTCATGGCCTATGACAGATTCCAGGCTGTGTGTCACCCTCTACTGTATGTGGTGGCTATGAACAGAAGGGTATGTACTGGCCTAGTGGGTGCATCCTGGGCCTTAGGAATAAGTGCCAGCCTAATGAATACTCTCTTACTAGCTCAGCAGCACTTCTGTGGCCCCAACCTCATCCACAATTTTGCCTGTGAGCTACCCCCAGTGCTTTTGTTGGCCTGTTCCAACCCCTACAGTAGTATCGTCTCCATCCTGGCCACCATGGTGGTGCTGGGCTTTGGCACTCTTGTCCCGTTGCTGGGTTCCTACAGCCGTATCATCATGACAGCCCTCGGGATCAACTCTGCCACAGGTCGAAGCAAGATCTTCTCCACCTGCTCTTCTCATGTCATTGTGGTCACCACCTTTTATGGTTCAGGATTTTTGAGGTATGTCATAGTATACTTTCTAAATACAAATGTCACATATTTTTCACTCTAAGTGCCTTTAGTCTCTAGAACAAGGAATTGCAATGTAGCAGGAAAAGGATCATCTAGGAAGTCAGAAAGCCTGGGCTCTACCTCTGCCTCTGCTGTGGATTATCTTTTGGTTTATAAAGAATTCATTTTCTTTTCTCTGACTCAGTTGACTATTTTGAAAAATGAGTTTAGCAAAAGCTTAAAGACTTTTCCATTTCATTAACCCATGATTTGGGAGTTTTCAAATCATTATTCTTAACCATGTTACCCTGTTTTGAGAGAAAGACCTTGAATTTTGAAAGTAAGTAGGTAATTCCTCAAAGGTTCCAAAACAAGGTAGTTGTGGAGCCAGGTAAATGAAGTCTCATGCTCTTTCCCACCATGATTTTCTCAGACGTAAACAGCTTGAGCTAAGGAGTCCTCTCTCTCTCTCTAAGAAAAAGAATAAATAGTGTCAGGGCTCTCTATTCGTGAACTGGAAATGAACTTGCACCAGTTGCTCAATACTTTTCTCACCTTGTGACTTGGAGGGAAGGCAGAGTATAGGAATGGAAGGTAAGGAATACTTCAGGAGAGTCCATGTGTGCCTGAAGATTCATCTCCCTTTAACTTCTCATACGCCTTAAAGGAACACGGAGATCTTTTCCTGCTACTTCACAGAAATATTAAAGGGGATACAAGAGATAAATATTAAAAGGGATAAATTAAAAGAGTTAAGTTTAAAACTCATGGTAAAATTGAGTATCTTTTTAGCCAAATGGGTTACAAGGACTATTCTTTGTACCATCTATATTTATTCCTATAATACTACCACTAAAAGAATAATAACAATAATAATAATAATACTTTGAGAAATAGCCCCTTAACAAGATAGGCCTCAAACTTATCTTATTAACTTTTTATCTTTTGCATAGCACTTTATCTCCTAATTTATGTACCAATCTTAACTTCTTTTCTAAGCCACATGCCAAAAGAAAAGGAAAAAACCACAAGAACAAAAGTTTATTTCATTAAGTATTTTGAATTCTTTTTATTTGTTTATGGTTTCTTTTGAGATAAGATCTTGCTGTGTAGTTTGGGCTGGTCTTGAACTCACTATAGAGCCCAGTACGGCCTGGAAGCTATAGTAATGTTTTGGCCTCAGTCTCTAGAGTGATAGGACTAGAGGTGTGCACCATCACACTTGGCTTTCCACTAAGTACTATAAAAATCATATACTAGAACTATGAGACTAATTCCCATAAGTGTTGGGAACAATGGAAGCAATGTGAAATAAGCATGATGCTGAGCAAGGAACAATCATCACAAGGGGATAACACAGTATGTCTTTAGTAATGTGTATATATGGGGAGAAAGAGGAAGATTTATATCATCATGACAACTATTAGGCATGATGCTTTGAAAAGTATGGAGTACTATGAGAATGCATGAAATTATCTGATTTGTTCTGATCTAACCTGAAGCCCTTGATAAGCTGCAGAACTCTTTCCTTGTGGCAGCTCCTGTAACTTTCTGAATAAGATCACTTGGGTTTGGGGATGTTTGAAAGCAGAAATAACTTATTTCCATATGCCACCACCAGTAATGGTCAACAGAGCTCTGAGGAATGCCTTTGCATTCAGCAGCCATGGAAAAAAACATTGTTGCCAACTGTATTGTGCTGATTATTCTGAACTCAGTGTGCTCCTCTGTGCAATTCCTACAAGGTACATGACTCCAGCATCTGGCTCAGCATTGGAACAAGTGGTATCCCTTCAGTACAGTGTGGTGACACCACTGCTCAACCCCTTCATCTACAGCCTGAGGAACAAAGAGGTGAAGGCAGCTCTGCAGAGGATGCTGGCCAGAAGGCCCAGGCTGATCTTGTGACGTGGACTGCTCTGCTTCACCAGGAGGAAAAGATACAGAGCACAAAGAGAAGCAAAGAAGAGCCAGGAAGAGCCACCACTACTTTGCTGTCTCAGTGCTCAACCCTTTCAGAGAGAAAAGACGTGGCTTCTGTTCATCCAGTGATCTGTCCTCAGACAAAGGAAATGAGAACACCTCCACAATAGAGCAGGTGACACTGCACAAGACAATCTTCAGGTCTTCACGGGCATTTGATTTTATATCTTATTTCTTCTCCTTCCTATCTTTCCCTTCTCTCCATCTCCCTTGTCTCCCCTCTTTTGTTTATGCACAGAATGTAAATCAACTCATCAGGACACTAGCTAACTCTATTATCCCACTGCACTCTACTATCCCATCCAGATACTGTGAGAGCTAATTGCCCTTTATTCCCATTCCAAAGGATCCCTGGCAAATCCGTATCTTATTAACAACTTAAGAAATAGAATAAGATCTCAGTTTTCCTGTCTTCGTTCTTAAAAAGTAGCCCCTTAACCAGACCCTAGAAAATCCCCACTGCTGTGGACAACCTAAGGAATGAAAGAAGGAATAAATCATTGATCCATCTGACATCTTTCTCTTGCATGATCCTAGCAAGCAGGTGGAGGTGAATATTCCCCTTTAAAAAGTGCACTGAAAACAGTACCTTTGTCTAATGTCTTCTGTGCCCCTGTATCTGGTACATCCTGACACCGTCAGGATGTGTTAGATAAGTGAAAAAATAAGTGACTGAGAGGAAGGAAAAGTAAGAGTGCTATGAAGAGGAACATTTAATAACATGCCGTAATCTCCTATCTTCACAACAAGACAGGTGTCAAAGGAAAGCAGCGGGAAGGAGAAATCAGGAAAGGAAATAAGAGACTGGATATTGTAAAGCACCATTCTGAATCTTTCTCAAACAAATCTTGGTTAATGGCCTGCATTCTGACCTTTATCTGAGGCTCCAACACGAAGGTTGGAAAATTTTTGATCCATGTCTGGTTCATGACCTCATTCCAGATCTAGAGAAAAGCAGAGTTGGATAATACAAAGCAAATACCCAGCTTCTGTACAACTGGATACTTGGTTCCCAGTAGATACTCAGGAAGAAAGTGGCAGTTTCTGTCTCATTTCCACTGAAAGACCAAGAGGTCTGTGATAGTCAATACTACTTCCATTAGGAGATGAGAACGCATCCTCAGTGGAGTGTGTGTTTAGTATGCATAAATCCTTTAATTCACAAATATTTGTATAACATGCAGTACACTGTGCAATAATTGAATGGACTTTTTTTAAAGTTTGAAGACTGCTTTCATTTATGCTAGCTTTGTGCCTGTTCTTGACCCTTGAATCAGACTAAGGTCTTATTTATAAATAAAACTCTTACTTCCAGGTTCCTTCAGGCTCCCAAAGATCACGGTCTCATAGATTAGCATCCTTGCCCTTTCAGGTATGCTTTCCCAGTCTCTGTAAGATGAAGGCTGATGCTGTGGTTTGGATGTTGCATGTACCTCAAGGCCCACTTATAAAGGCTTGATCCATGGCCTGCAGCACATCAGTATTAGGAGATGTTTTAGGATGTGTGACCTAATGGGAGCTCCTTAGGTCACTGAGCATGTGCTTTCGAAAGAGGTTGGAGAACTACAGGTCTCTCTATCTCTCTGTTCCTCTCTCTGTCTCTGTCTTTCTGTCTCTCTGTCTCTCTCCTCTCCCTGATCTTCCCTTTCTTTCTCCTTTAGTGTCCTCCTTATCCCTGTCCCATTCCCCTCCTTTCTTCTTTCCTTCCCTCCCTTACTGTCTACCCCACACAGTGGAATTCCTTGACTTTGAACCTCTAAAACAATGAATTAAATAAAACCTTTCTCTTTAATTTAGATGCCTCAGGTATTTCACTGTAGTAATACACATTTGACTAATATAATCCTGGAATGACCATCACAGCCCCAGCTTTAGTGGCATTCCTGTTCTAGCTCCTTGATGGAGGTGGTCCCTCATATTGTCTAGAGCATGTAGCTGTGTCAGATTAACAGGTAAGAAATAAATACTCAGTATCAATGGGTTTAATGTCCATCCAACTCTGCCTCCTCACATACACAATACACAGGGCGTGTATGAACCCTGAGGACTTTGGGAAGCCTGGTGTCCCATACTTAGGAAGGGAAACAATGAAATGCTACAGAACATACCTTATACTATGTATATGACTAGTACTAAGTTATTCCCTAAGAGTTTGTTTTTATTAGGTTTAGGGGGAATGGCCTTGCTATTGCTTGTCTATATTCACAAGTTTTCTAAATATGGAATTTCATTTGGGAGTCAGTGGTTTATTGTTATGACAAGGGAAGCATCATCTGAATGGTGAAAGCCCCATATGGTATTGGGGTGGGAAGAATATAATCAACAATATTAGACTTCCTCTGAAGACAAGGAAGGTAAAAGGAAAACATAAATTTTATATCTTAATAATTCATAAATGTGGTAAATTACATTATAGCTTTGGAATGCTTGATTGTCAAAGCAAAAAGAAATTGCAATAAGAATTCTAGACAAAAAAATTCCTTTTAAGATGAGTAACTGAGTCTCAGAGGACAGAGATGATCTGCCAATATGTAGGTTATCAATGAGTGGCACAAAAAACTTTAGGGCCCAAATCCCTGATCTTTTTTCTTTCATACCTCCAATAACCATTAGAATAAAGTTCTGGAAACATCCTCCATAAAAACAAGCAAAGTAAAAGCAATGGTGGAGCAGAGCATCCAAACCAAGAGGCCCAGGTGCTTAAACTCTTAAGGATCACTGAGCTAACTACAAAGGTCCATATTTCATAGAGTATGCATGGGGTAACTTCAATTCCTTTGCGTTTACTTAAGCCTGTAATATGAGCTAATAGAGGGTCGCTTTTGGAGAAGGTCTCATGTGCAGTGGAGAAAACTTATATTCTATTATGTGGTGTGGAGCACTACAGATATATACTAAGTTCATTTGTTCAAAAGTTTGGTTCACCTGTCATATATTTTTGCACAATTTTTGTCTAGTTGATTTATTTGTGACAGTGTACTGAAGTCTCATTACAATTTTATTAGTGCTTATCTGGTTTTTCTTACCTATAACTATATGTTTTATGCATTTGAATGTGCTGTTATTTTGTGCAAGTATATTTATGGTTGTTATGTCTTCTTTTGGGTTATCCCTTAGTGATTACATAGTGGCCTTTGTCTCCTCTGATTCACCTTAGCTAGAAAACCACTTTATCTGCAAACCTTGCTATGGAGTATGGCTTTCCATACTTTAAATTTCAGTGTATGAATTTCTTTTGGAGTTAAATGTATTGATTGTATGCAACACATTGTTGAATCTCCTCTCCTTTTTTTTTTTGGTGGGGGAACTGGGAATCAAACTCACAACCTTGCATTTGTCAGGTAGGCGATGGCCTATATCCCAGGCTTTTTTTTTTTTAATTTTAAAGATAATAAAATAAAACAAAAAAAGCAAAAATCTCCGAACAAAAAATGCAAGAACACAGGATTTCAAAGCAAGACAACAGGAAATTTACAGTGGTTACCATAATGTCTTTTGTTTTCTTCAAAATAGTTGTCTATACTTTCACACACAATGAATCCAAGCAAAACAAAAATAGCATAAAACCATTCAAAACAAAAGAATGAAAGCATTACAAGTCTTCAAAACCAGACAATAGGAAAATCAACAAGGACTACCATAATGTCTCTTGCTGTCTTCAAAATAGCTGTCCATATGTTTATGTATATTGAAATTGAACAATACAAAAAAGACTAAAACCACTCTGAACAAAGAATAAAAGCATTATTGGACTTCACAACAAGAGGATGGGAAATCAGTAATGGCTACCATAATGTCTCATTTTCTTCAAAGTAGCTGTTCATACCATCCACGTAATAAAATCAAATCTTGTAAACTCTGTAGGATAAGTTCTAGGCATATATAAGCTTATACATGTACATCTACCCTTTCTGTATTAGAGGGAAAAACAAAACAAAAACAAAACAAATTATGAGAAAAGCAAGAAACAAAAGAGACAAATAAATAACAATAAAAAATAACCCAAAGCAATGACAATACAGACTTTCAAAACAAGGTGGTAGGAGCATAACTAAAGTTATTATTTTGCATAGTTATCTTCAAAAGAATTACTCAGATTACCAGATATAATCATGTAAGATTGACCTAATGTTATGAATGTTAACTGTTTTATTCCAAGAATAGAATTAGTAGCACAATCATCTTAGCTTAAGTGTGTATATAAAAATTTGTATCTTTTTTTCCCTTCTCTTTTCTCTCCTTTTCCAAGTTATTTTTCCCCTTTAAGCAGTTTCTTACCCTTTAACAATATTTATTGAAGATTTTGTATTTAATTTGATCTTTCAATTTCTTATACTAGAGAGACAATATGGTTTTTACACATGTGAGTTTGATTCATTTCACTTATGCGTATTGTCTCAAGTCACATCCATTTACCCACAAAAGTCTCAGTGGGATCCTTCTTTATAGGTGAGTAGTACTCCTTTGTATAAAAATACCGTATCTTTTTTTATCCATTCCTCAGTTCTTGGGCATTTGGGTTATTTACAAGATTTAGCTATTACAAATTGTGTTGCTATAAACATAGGTGCACATATATCACTGTGGTATGATGTTTTCAGTTCTTCTGGGAGTATACCCAGAAGTGGAATAGTTGGGTCAAATGAGACTTCCAATCTCTGCATTTTGAGGACGCCCCAGATTGACCTCCACAGTGGGTGCATCATTCTGCACTCCCACCAACAGTGCAGAAGAGTTCCTTTTCCCCTACAGCCTCTCTAGCATTTGTTACTGGTGATTTTCTTGACCCTAGCCCTTCTTTCTGGAGTGAGATGGAATCTCAGTGTGGTTTTAATTTGTATTTCTCTAATGACCAATGATGCTGACCATTTTTTCATGTATTTATTTACTATTTGTAGTTCTTCATCTAAGAATTGAGTATTCATCTCAGATGCCCATTTTTGGATTGGGTCTTTGAGTTTCAGGGGTCTGATTTTAAAAATTATTTATATGTTCTAGACAGAAGTCCTTTGTCTGAGGGACAGCTGACTAAGATTTTTTCTCAGTTTGTGGGTTTTCTTTTTACTCTGTTGGAAATTTCTTTTGACATGCAAAATCTTTTTAATACTATGAGATTCCAGTTATTGATCCTGGGAAGTATTTCCTATGAAGTCCATGAATTCTATGCCTACCACTATATCTTCAAGATTTCTACTTACTTTGTCTTCCAAGAGACTTAGTATTTCTGTTTTAATATTTAACTCTTTGATCCATTTTGACTTTAGTTTAGTACATGGTCACAGGAATGGGTCTAGTTTTAGGTTTTGGCATATGGGAAGACAGTTTTTCCAGCACCACTTATTGAAAAGGCTGTCTTTCTTCCAGTGAACATGTTAGGTCCCTTTATCATAGATAAAGTGGCTGAGTGTGTTTGTAGTTATGGTTGTATCTTCTAATCTATTTCAATGATCTTCAGGTTTCTTTTTATTCCAGTACCATGCTGATATTTATTACAATAGCTCTGTAGCATAACTTCAAGTCACAGATTGTGATGTCTCCTGCCTTGTCTTTGTTGCCCAGAGTTGCCTTTGGTATTTTAGGTGTCTTCTGGTTCCAGATGAATTTTAGGAATGATTTCTCTAGATCTGTGAGGTATGCTAATGGTATTTTGATTGGAATTGCATTAAATATGTATAACAATTTTGGGAGAATGGCCATTTTCACAATGTTTGTTTTTCCTATCTGTGAACAAGGAATACCTTTCCATTTTCTGAGATCATCTTTGATTTCTTTTTTCAGAGTACCATAATTTTCACTGAATAGATCTTTTACTTCATTAGATCAAATCCTAAATATTTCATTTTTTGGGATGCTATTGTGAAGGGTGTGATTTCTCTTATTTCTCTCTCAGTGAATTTGTTGTTTTTGTAGAAGAATGCTATTGATTTTTAGCATTGACTTTGTATTCAGCTATCTTACTGACTTTCATTAGAAGTCTTTCAATGGAGTTTTGTGGGTTTTCTATGTAGAGTAGCATGTCATCTTCAAATAATGATAGTTTAACTTCTTTTTTCCTATCCTTATTCATTTTATTTCTCTCTGTTTTCTAATTGATCTGGCTAATGTTTCCAGCACTATATTGAATAGAAGTGGGGATAATGGATATCCTTGTCTTGTTCCTGATTTTGGAGTAAAAGCTTTCAGTTTTTGACCATTTATTATGATGCTGGCTGTTGGTTTGTCACAGATGGCTTTTATCAGATTGAGGTAAAGACCATCTATTCTGATTTTATGTAGGGTTCTTATCATGAATCAGTGTTGGTTTTTATGGAAAGCTTTTTCTGCATCTATTTATATGAGCATGTTATTCTTATCTTTGGCACTCTTTATATGTTGTATTATGCTTATTGATTTGCATATGTTGAACCATCCCTGAATTCCTGGGATGAATTCCAGTAGTTTATAGTATATGACCTTCTTGATAACTTGCTGCGTTGTGTTTGCCAGTATTTTATTGAGAATTAATGCATCTATGCTTATTAGAGAGACTGGCCTGTAGTTTCTCTCTCTCTCTCTTTTGTTTGTGTCTTTCCCTAGTTTTGGTATTAGGGTAGTACTTGCTTTCAGGAATGAGATAGGAAGACTAGTTTTTCTTTCAAATACATTGAAAAGTTTGAGGAATGTTGGCATTGTCTTGCTTGAATTTGTAGAATTCCACAGTGAATCCAGTAGTATGCTGGCTTTTCTTTGTTGGTAAGGTTCTAACTACATTTTCAATTTCATTAACTTTCATCGGATTATTTGGCAGTTTTACATCTTCTTGATCCAGCTTTGCAATTTGTATGTTTCCAGGAATCTGTCCATTTCTTCTGTGTTTTCAAACCTGTAAGAGTAAAGATTTTTGAAGTAGGTATGGACAACCTTCTACATTTCCAAAGGGTCCATAGTGATTTCATCCTTTTCATTCCTTATTGCATGAATGTGAGGGTTTTCTTTCCTTTTGAAAAATAAGGTTGGATAAGGGTTTATCAATTTTATTTATTCCTTCAAAGAACTCTTTGATTTTTAAATTATTTATATTGTTTTCTTAGTCTCAGTTGCATTAATTTCTGCTCTGC